GAACACGTTTAACTTGAATTTTATTTAACAAAATAGAAATTACCAGGGCGTCATTGTGCGGCTGAGATATGCCTTCCGCTTCCCCATCATTGAATGATAGAACGCCCTCGGGCACATAGCTCCGAGTTCGTTTCTCCGGTGATCGACCCTTGGTGCGTTTGAATACAGGCCCTTGTGGAACATCGACACCGCTAACGATCATATGAATTACGTGTTGCGGTTCTTCATGCTCATTTTTTCTGTTTGCATCTCTTTCCCTGAAGTGGTTCTTTGCTCGATCACTGAGAAATTCTCGAAGATGGCCTTCGTTGAACAACCGAGCTACCTCCTCCCTCAACTGCCTGCAATCTTCGGTTCTATGGCCATGTGTGCCATGATACTTACACATCAAGTTTGGATTCCTTTGAGAATGATCGATTTGTATAGGCTTGGGCCACCTGGTGTCTTTAATTCTTCCGATAGTTAACACAATCCCTGATGCATCTACACTAAAATTATACTCCGACAATCGAGGTGCTTCAGTGGGGTCGGTATGTCTGTCAAAACCATTCTTACTCATGAGTCCCCGAGAGTTTTGACCCCGATCATTTCTCCGATCATTCCGAGGAGCATTACGCCCTGAACCGTTGTTTCTTCGATCGACATATGGCTGATACCGTTCCTTGTTTGATCTCGATTCCCTGTCCGTATCCATCGGGGGCTTAGCTACCAATCTATTAGGATGAACCGAACTCGAGGGGGCTCCCAACTGGTCGTCCTCGACCCTGATCATTGATTGGTAACGATTATGTACGTCCGACCACGTCACAGCTGGGTACTCTATCATATTCAGCTTTAATTGTCGTGACGCGATTGAACTCCGCTCGTTCAAACCCTGCATAAAAGCCTGTACTACCCAGTCATCCGAGATCGGTGGTAATTCCATTCGCTCCATTTGAAACCGAGACACGAACTCCCTTAACATTTCGTCGTTCCTCTGCCTTATCTTAAAAACGTCTGATTTCCTTGTCGCCACCTTTATGGCCCTGGCATGTTCTTTCACGAAGGCAGCTGCTAACATAGCAAACGAATCGATAGAGTTCGGGGGCAAGTTGTGGTTAGAGTCGTCAATATGGGCTTGGCCCGTTGGGCCAGCCTAGCCCAGCCCGTGATTTAGCAGGGCTGGGCTAGAATTTTTGGAGCCCGTTTAAAAATGAGGCTTTTAAGACCGGCCCGAATAAGCCCGTGGCCCACGAGGCTTGATTGAGGCCGGCCCGGCCTGTGGGCCTAATAAAATATTTACTTAAAATATATAAAAAATAAAAAGTATACTGCCTTTAGATATGGAAAGTCAGAATTGGATCTTTACTAAGAGGAACCAAAACTTAATCTTGAGAAGTTTCAAGAGGTGATGTTGTCATGTATTGGAAGGACCATTCTAGAAAATATCCCGATCTTTCAATGATGGTGCGTGAATGTGATGTACTTAGCATTCTTATTACCATTGTACCATCGGAATCAATATTTAGCATTGGTGGCGTGTTCTTACAAAGTACAGAAGTTGCATTTATTATGAAAATGTCCAAACACTTGTTACTACTTGAAATTGGCTGCACAGGTTTTCCCGAACTCAAACTTGTAATATTTTTATGTGAATTTAAATATTATTAATTTTTAAAATTTAATTTTTTTAATATTTAACTAATTAATATTGCATATGAATTTTAGATGAAAGTGAAGATGTTAAGACAACCTTGTCACAAGCGGATTCAAATGTGTTTGATGAAGATGATGTGTTGGATATCTCATAAGCATCATGAACGTTCTCTTGAATAGTTTGTTTTAGTTTTGACTTTTAGTGAATGAAATATAGTCTTGTCTTTTACTTTTTCTTTTTAGTATTTATTGTGATATATTGGAACAATATAAAAAGCTATTAAGTTTTGCGTATTTTTTCCAATAAGATATTTTTTAACTTTTAAATAATTATCTTTTTTTAGGTCAGAACTTAAAGAAAAAATATAAAATTATATTTTTAAAAATGATGGGCCGGCCCGTGGGGGCCCGCGGCCTACATAGGGCTGGGGTGGGCTGACCATTATAAGGCCCATCAAAATAGTGGGCTAGCCCAGCCCAGCCCGTCAATTGCTAAAGCCCACGTGGGCTGGGCTGGGCTAGCCCGGGCCGGCCCATATTGACAGCTCTAGTTGTGGTACCAAATCATGGCTCCTTTCGACAAAGTTTCCCTAAAATTTTTCAACAATACTGATTCGATCTCATCATCATTCAGGTCGTTTCCTTTAATCCCGCAATATTATGAGGTAATATGTTCATTAGGGTCGGTTGTCCCGTTATATTTAGGTATATCGNGAAAATGTCCAAACACTTGTTACTACTCGTAAATTGGTTGCTACGACTTTTTACCCAAACTCAAGCTAGGTTAATTTTTTTATGTTAATTTGACTATTATTAGTTTTTAAATTTAATATTCTTAATATTTTATTAATTAATATTGCATATGAATTGTAGATGTAAATGAAAGTGAAGATGTTAAGACAATCTTGTCACAAACGGATTTAAAAGTGTGTGATGAAGATGATGTGTTGGATATCCCATAAGCATCATGACGTTCTCTTGAATAGTTTGTTTTGACTTTTGACTTTTAGTGAAAGAAATATAGTCTTGTTCTTTTACCTTTTTAGTATTTATTGTGATGTACTGGAACAGTATAAAAAGTTATTAAGTTTTGACAAAAAAATTTCAATAAGATTATTTTTTAACTTCTAAATATTTATCTTTTTTCTTAGGCTAGCACTTAAAGAAAAATAATAAAATTATATTTAAAAATGATGGGCCGGCCCGTGGGGGCCCGCGGCCTACATAGGGCTGGGGTGGGCTGACCATTATAAGGCCCATCAAAATGGTGGGCTAGCCCATATTGACAGCTCTAGTTGTGGTACCAAATCATGGCTCCTTTCGACAAAGTTTCCCTAAAATTTTTCAACAATACTGATTCGATCTCATCATCATTCAGGTCGTTTCCTTTAATCCCGCAATATTATGAGGTAATATGTTCATTAGGGTCGGTTGTCCCGTTATATTTAGGTATATCGGGCATGCGAAACTTTTTAGGAATGGGCTTCGAAGCCGCACTCTAAGGGAATGGTTTTTGTATGAACTTTTTGGCATCCAAACCTTTCAAGACCGGGGGTGCCCCCGGTATTTGATCAACACAGGAGTTATAGGTCTCAACTTTCTTATTATTATCCTCAATCTTCTTCTCTCCGGACTCGATTCTCTTGGTGAGTTCCTCGAGCATCCTCATAATTGTGGGATCAGTCCCCGAGCCATTACTGTTTGATCTTTCCGGTATCGGCTTAGTACGTCGACTGTTTTCTGGTTTGACTATACTTGGAGTTTTGTGCTGACTCTGAAGCTGAGCGATAGCAACCCGTTGAGCTTGTAGCATCTCAAATATTACTTGGAGGCTGACTCCTCCGTCTCCTAGACCTTGTGTTCCTTGGCCACCAGATCAGGCTTCCCTGCGTACACTTCTTCCGAGGTCCGCACTTAAATCCGCATCCAAAGCGATGCGCGTCCTAACATCGACTGGTTCCCCATTTGGCACTTCCATAGGGTTAACCGGTGGTACACCGACCCTTACATTGTTGTTTTCCCCATGAAATCTAAGATCCTCGTCACCATGTACGGGTGTGTTTTGCGAGTTTGACATATTTTAACCTGAAAACAAATTCTGAACAAGAACAAGTGTGAAAATAACGTGTGTTATCAGAATCAATACTGAAATAATCACTATTATCTTTAGCCCTACGGTGGGCGCCAAACTGTTTACCTCGAAAATACGAGTAACAATTAAATTTGATTTATGGGTTTAAAGATATGTGATCTAGTTCAATACTAATTAATAACCAAGAAAGCTAGCGTGTAAATGAAGGAAATAAGTAGAATCAAACCAGTATGTAAGCCAGCCTCGACCTCGAGCCAAGGTGACCTCGAGGTGAATCAAGAACAATAAAGCATGAATAATAAAGTTAAAAGACAATTCTGATGAACAATGAGCGAATAAAGTGAGAGTATATTCTTTGCCAATGATTCAATGCGTTTACAAATGATTGGGGGTCCCCTTTATATAATGGGGGAACCCTAAATAAGGTACATTTCTATTTACAATAAAGAATCTCATTGGGACAGTTGTTTAACAGCCTAGTACGGATTCGTACAAATCTATTCCGGGATTTACACCACGATCTTGGGAACGCGACAGGAGTCTTGCTCATTCTGTTACAAAATCCATAACGGTATTATCTCGAGGCTGGTCATATTAGGCTCCGATGTTCCTCGAACACTTAGTTCTTCGAGCCTCGTATTCCGTCCTCAAGCTCGAACTCGGTCCATAGTGAGTCTATTCCTCGATGCGAGCCTTCTGTTCCTTGATATGAACCCTCGAATCCACAAAATCGGGGCACCTGATTTCATCGTATACATACATCTCTTAGATTTAGAGATATTTTAGAGATTGTAATCCCATCACTTGAAACTGAATATAATATTTATCGCTATATTTCTTGTCTTGATTATTATTTTCAGGAGCGAAATTTCGTCGTTACAGTTACAATATATAACTTTCGATCCTATAAAGCTCGTTAAAGTAAGCTTAATAATGCAAAGCAAATAAGTCATTTCATGTAGACATGTACTCGTGTATTTTAATTTTAAGACAAAAAAAGCCACGTAGGAGTACTGTTTCGTGGATCATTAGTATGATACATATGTTTTGCTGATGAGAATGCTCAACTGTTGTTAGCGATGCCCGCACGTGACCTAACTTCCGTCTAAGCCTAACTTCTTCCGTTGAAGGACCAAAGTGCACCAAAATTGTAAACTTAAAAAACATAAGTTTATCCTCAATGTAACCTTTGAGGACCAAGTTAAACTAAACTATAAACTTAGAGGACTGTTGCGGCTAAAAACTCATTTCGATTACTTTATCTCTCTCTCTACGGGGCGCTTCAATTTCTCTTTCGTTCTCTCTCTCGCAGCTCTACAATTCCTATCGCCGATTCAAAACCCTAGAATTCAGATAACCGAACCGGTCGGTTGTAAGCTCCATTGGTATCAGCATCGACATCTTGTAAGTTTTTTTTAACAATTGTCTTCCATATCTTATAACGAGCCCTAATTTTCTCCATCTCTGCCGAATACACTATTTTTCATTCGATGAACTCGATTTCTTTAGGTTATTAGTTTTTGAGGTCCGGGTACAGTGTTTTAAATAGCTTGTACTATCAGCTTTGTTCTTGATTGTTGAGTAAATCTTTGCATTTTGATGCTATTTAAGTGTTTTCGGATGATACGCAGAGTTGTTTTAAAAATCGCCTTTTTGTACTTAGATGCTCTAACACACAATTTAGAAATTATGTATATTCTTTGTATTGACAGTGACGAGCAAGGTTGTGCTGAATGTGTGCAATGTGAGCGGATGATTATCACTAGTCTGTAGGTTTAGGTGAGAATTTAGTATGAAGTCTGAATTCATAACTTCTGTGATAGTTTAAAGTTTGTTACTGTATCAGAAACTCAGAAGCTACTTTTTGGATAAAATAACTGTATCACTGTAAAAGGAAAACCCCATCTACAGGGATATACAAAAGTAAAGAATCTTTCCCATTTTTTTTTACAGTGGTGGTCTTCGGGCCAAATTGCACGCATCTCGATTATTCCACAGAGTACCTGCTACCTGCTACCTGGCACCTGCAACTAGGGGTGCGGTCAGTGCGGTACAATATTTAGATATTTTGGTTCAGTATTTTCGGTATTTGGTTCTTAAAATGCTATACCAATATCATACCTAGTTAAATTCGGTATGTTTCGGCTTTTATCCTTTCGGTTTCAGTTTATTCGGTCCAATAACTTCACTTTGTTCGGCTTGAATATTAACTAGTGCATAGAGCCGTCAGTGTTGTCAAAAGCGAAAAGCTCTAAAAAGCGCTCGAGGTCTATTGGAGCTTTAAGCACAAAGCGCAACTAAAATGTGGGCTTTAGTAAAAAAAGCCGCAATGAATGAAATATTATATATTAACTAGTGCATAGAGCCATCGATGTTGTCAAAAGCGAAAAGCTCTAAAAAGCGCTCGAGGTCTATTGGAGCTTTAAGCACAAAGCGCAATTAAAATGTGGGCTTTACTTAACAACGTAATACACTTATTTGTTGATTATTATTGTTATTAAGTATTGCCTGATTCAAGATAGAACTCATGGGCAATAAGGCACACGCCTTAGTGCCTTGCTTACACTGAAGCGCAACTTAAGCGAGCGCTTGCTTAACACAAGACAATCTCATCAGGAGAAATTTTCAGCTACCTAATAGGTGTTACATGTGCCTCTGCAAGTCCGAGTCAATTAATCATTTGTTTCTTCACTGCTCAGTTACAACAGACATGTGGAACATGTTCCTAACTCCGTTTGGTCTGCATTGGTCTATGCCATGTAGTGTTAGGAAGGTTTTTGTGAGTTGGTGCTCATGGAAAGTTGATAAAACCACCAAAAGGATCTGGGCCACGGTTCCTGCTTGTATTTTGTGGTGTATATGGACCGAAAGGAATCAGAGATGCTTTGATGGGGTCTCAACTGCCAATCATTCTCTTAAAGCCAAATGTTTAGTTAATCTTTTTAGCTGGGTTAATCTTACCCCTGTTTATAACCTTGAACCCTTTTTGGAATTTATCAACTCCTTAGTCTTATGATAGATCTTTTGTTGATATTTTTGGGCTGATACTTTATGTTTCTTTGTAACATCTGCATCTTCTAGATGTCTTTGTTAATAATATTCACATACTTCATAGAAAAAAAGCGAGGTGAAGCGCGCTCCCTGAGACGCCTTAAATGAGCCTTTGACAACATTGAGAGCCATATACTGTAATTTTCTTAATTAAAGTATCCACAAATGCAAAAAAAAATATGTTCTAAGTTTACTCAACTGTTGATAAAATCTTTGTACAAAACCAGCAAGTATCAAGCCATAGAGAGAAAAAAGGTACATAAAGGAATAAATTTGTTCATTGAAAATGTTTTGTTAATTGCTGAACTTAGAGAGTATAATAAGGACTAATCCAACCTTAACCCTCAGGGGTTGGCCTGGTGGCAATTGACTTGAGCCTTGGGGTTTGCTCCCTTTCAAGGTCTCAAGTTCGAAACCCATTGGGTGCAAACAATTTCTGAGGGCCATCGGACTGGGTAAAACCTGAATTAACCGTGGTGCACTGGCGGGAAACTCCTTGCCGAGGGCCTGTGCACCCCCGGGATTAGTCGGGTTTCTTAGAGACTCGGACATCCGGTGCAAATCAAAAAAAATAAAATAAGGATTAATCCAACCTTAGAAACATTACGTTAAACTGCATGACAACCTTGCTTGGCAATCTGGAGAGTAAGAGTTAGAATCTGCAGCCTACCTTGTTCCTCCATTTTCCTAACGAAGTACATGGCCGTTACTACCAATCTCAACATGAATGTCAAAGAAAAGTTTTGCGTAACTTAGCATGTTATAATCAATAAATATGTGTATTGTGTAACTTAGTATATATTTCGGTACGGTGTCGGTATTTCGGTATTATTTCTTTAAATACCAAATATCATACCTAATACTCCCTCCGTTTCAATTTATGTGAACATGTTTGACTGGGCACGTAGTTTAAGAAAAAATGAAGACTTTTGGAATTTGTGGTACTAAACAAGTCAAAAAGGGGCGCAAAGTATTTGTGTGGTTATAAAAGCTTCTCATTAAGGATAGAATTCTAAGTTTAAGCTAAATTGTTACCAAATCTAGAAAGGAGTCATTCTTTTTGGAACGGATCAAAAAGGAAATATGTTCACATAAACTGGAACAGAGGGAGTATCATATCTTTTGGATTTAGTGGAATAAGGACCACATTTTTTTTATGAAGTAGTATTATAAACGACATCAAGAAGATGCATGGAAGCAAAATAAGTACAAAAGGAGTGAGTTTGTTAGCTCTGTTCAATGAACCTATGCAATCGCTAAAGAGCTAACAAAGTCCAAAACTACCATGTTTTTTCTTAAGGCGATATGATGGATCCCGTCTAACTGTCTTGTTAGCATGAGTAGTTTGGCTTGTCATTTGCTGACAATTCTTCCATATGGTTCAGGAGAAAACGATTACATAGATTTTGCAGCTCAAGGTGCCAGTAGCGCCAAATCGAAAAAAAAAAATCTCCACCACAGCAATATGGAAAAAATTTGTTGCCATTACCATATAGCATTACAAAGTAAATTAGTTTAATTCTTAGGAAACTTTTCGCATGTTAGGAATGTGATCCCACTGTTTTGCAGTAGGATTGAGTTGATACAAGGGTGACATAGTTGAAGAGGGCAGCAAGATGGGTCGTGGGGTCTCGATGAGGTCGTAGTGCCTTATGATAAATTTACTGGGACTACTTGGCCTTGGTAAATAAGAAAATAGCATCACAAATTACTAACTATGACTATGAGGATCAGTATTCAAGTTGACCAAAGACCTGTGCTATTTTGTAGGTGTCCTGGTGTATGCCACAAGTTAGCATTAGGGACATTGTGAGATCATGTGCACACTGTGTTCCTTGCTAAGCCAGTCAAACTAAAAGCTCATAAAACCAACATGCTAGTCCTGTTCATCGCGTGGAATTATAGATATGAGTCCAAAGGAAAGTACGCATTGACATGTATGTTAGATTGTTAGGTCCAATTTTTGATTTTCCTCTGCCGGGGGGCTGAGAGGATGTCCGTGAATCCAATACTCTCCTAATGGCCTGCCTTTGACTGTGCCCGGGGGGGGGGGGGGATTTTAATCGTGGCAGGCAAAAGCTATCTTGAAAACTCAGCAAATAACTACTATTATGCCTCAAAACCTAGACATCAATGTTAGCCATTCACTCCTTTGGGCACTTTTTGTCTTTTCGGAAAAATTATTGTGTCTCTAAAATTAGAGATTCTCTATCTCTCACACTTGACCATGTGATTATGTAGAATCCCTAACCAACAAAAGACACTCGTGTCAAACACCAGACCTGTGTAAGTGAACCAGTAACGACAAAATCTTAGTCCCAACTAATATATATCGTATGTATGGGCACTTTGCTTCATTGTGCTCTACTTTCTCTTTATTATCCATATAGCTTTCGAGAGGTTGTAGTTTTTTCAAGACAATTTTGCTCCATATATTTTTAAGGTTACATCGTCCTTTTTTAACATTTTCAATCATCATGATAGCACCAACAGGCGGTGCATTTGAAGGTCTACGTAAGATATGGCCTAATTGTTTAAGGCAACCTTCTCTATTTTTTGCCTCTCTGTGCTACTTGCATTTTTGTCAGATGTGAGCACATCATGTGAATGTTAGGTGGCCCCCAGTTTTTAGACATATTTCCACTTATTCCCCTTTGTATTGTTCACCTAGGAAGTGGAGCATTTTTCGAATGTAAATTTAGATGGTCTGTTGAGCTTGCTGTAGTCACGTGTAGATGCTTTTTAGATATCTAATCTTGATCTTTTCCAATTCTCACCTTCGTTTTTTGCTGTTTATGTCATGTCCCCTTGGTCCACCATATAGGCTGTTTCTTTGATTTGTACAAAAGGATAACATTGAGCTTCAATGCCTGCACTTGTTCCTTGTGATTTCTGTCTATGTAGTTTGTATAGATGGTGTATGGATGTAGTTCATTAATGTTGATGTTTAATTCTCACATCCATACTACCTTTTCTCAGTCTCAAATAATATCACAAAGAACCAGCCAAGTGGGACTAGCAGCATGAACTTTTCAGCTTTTAAGTAAACATTAATGATCCTTTTGCAGGAGTTTTAGGACAGACAGCTGGTATATGCTCTGAAGTATACATTGATTGTAATGCCAAATGTTAGAATAGTCAGTTGCAACATTTTACGGTCAAAGGTTCTGGACTTAAATCATCTATGCCTGGCAATGAAGTTGGAGATAGAGTTCACAAATTTTTTGCACAAGACATTTTATCACAAGTACAGCCTCATTCGCCGGTAGTGGACGTCAATTGGCCAACTTCAAGTGACAATATGTGGGCTGGAAGCCAGAGACAGACAGGTGTACTGAGTTCCAACACAAAAAATTACAATTTGCAGAACTCTGGTAATTTAACATGTTGTTTGCTCTCTATTTGCTTGCTGAATAGCTGTTTGTGTGATCTCTTACTTTTCCTGCATGCAGACACTGGGAGAGGACTAAGCAGTTATCCATTCAATGGGCAGCATGGTTTAAATTTTACACAGTCAATTCCGAGGCTTGAGTCCGCTAAAAATCAGTCACAAATCCAGCAGCCAAATTTGAATGGTTTCATGTATGGTAATCAGTTTTACCAGACAAGGCAGGGCGAAACAAACTTCCCCGCTGTGGATACTAGTTCCGATCAATGTAATATAGCCTCAGGAGGCTCACCTTTTTTTGAGTCACAGCAATGGTTGGGTCCTGAACAGCACACAAGAGCAACTGTTAGATCAGAACCTTCTGATAGTCCTGTCAGTGTTGATCTTTTTGGTGGTCAGCAAATCTCTCATCAGCAATCAAACATGCTGCATTCTTTGCAGCGGCAGCAGTCTGGGATTAGTGACATGCAGCAATTTCAACAGCAAGTTATGTTCATGAAGATGCAAGAGCTTCAGAGACAGCAGCAACTTCATCAACTAGAAGCGAGGCAACAGAATACATTAAATCAGGTTTCCTCCTGTTCTAAGGTGGCATCTGGTGTCCATTCCCCAGCATTAGTTAACGGCACTGCAAATTCTGGTACACTAAATCATTCCTGGGGAAATGAGCTTGGCAACACAAATTGGCTGCAGTGTGGTTCTCCAGTACATCAAGGGTCCTCCAGTGGAATCATTCCAACCAATAATGGCCAAGCACAACGTGTAATGGGTTTGATTCCTCAACAGAATGATCAATCTCTATATGGGGTTCCTGTTTCTAGTTCAAGACCGTCTCTAAACCATTTTTCACAAGGGGTGACAGATAAGCAAGCTGTGCAGCCAATGCCAACCTTTAATAGTTCATTTCCAGTTAATCAATATGCTCCAGTAGCAGATCAGGTCAGTGGGCAGGATGGGACTTTCATCTGTAGTCAGAGCCTCCTTGAAAATGTATATGGAGATGCTCCAAGCCAAGCTCTGTCTAATGCAGTAGATGTGGGTAACCTTCAGCAAGATGATACTATGCAAAAAGCTTCAGCTCTCCAGGACTTCTGTGGCAGACAGGATATAGCTGTTCCTTCAGAGACCTCACATGAAGAAGCTGCAGTGCGAGCTTCTTCCGCACAGAACGAGGTTGGACTAGATCCTACAGAAGAAAGAATTTTATTTGGTTCAGATGATAATATATGGGCTGCCTTTGGCAAGAGTCCTATGAGTGGTGAAGGTGGTAATCCTTTTGATGGTGCTGAATTGCTAGATGGGATTTCGTCTATCCAAGGTGGTACTTGGAGTGCTCTTATGCAGTCTGCCGTTGCAGAAACTTCTAGTAGTGATGCTGGACTACAGGAGCAGTGGACTGGTTTAAATTTTAACAGTACTGAAATTCCTTCTGGGAGACAGAATTTGACATATAACAGCGACAGACATAGAACATCTTCTGCTGAAGACAATTTCCCCCAAGCCTCATCTTTGAAATCTGTTTCTGTTCATCCCTCTGATAATATCGATATGAGAAATAGCTGTCACAATGTTCAGGGACACAGGTTTCCATTTGAGCCAGGCAAGAGTCTGCAATCGAATTCTTCTCAAAGACTTGTGCAATCATCAGACGAAGGAAATAAGTGGTCCAAGTCAGGTCAATCACAGATGTTAGAAGGTCACCAGATGGTTGAGAAGACTTCAAATCCTCTTGACAGAGAAATGATCTCAAAAAACATTTCTAGTCCTTTGACACCCGAGCTTGGTGGAGTTAGGGAACAATATAACAACTCAGCTGGTTGGAATGTTCTTGAATCAGCAGTGCCTTCTGGAGATGCAGTAAGTGTCTCAGGAGAGAAATCATTTAAATGTTCCCAAGATTACAATCAGAAGAAATTCATTCAAGGTGAAGTTGTTCATAGTGGTGCCAGGTGGAATTCTAATCCTGGCCATAATCCTACAGTTACTATGGAGCGCGCAGAATCATCTGTTGGTAGTCCCCAGGCAAACTTGGAGGTCTTTAGCTTGCATAATTCTTCCGCTATACGAAACTCAAGTACCATGAGGAGTGGCGAGGAAACCAGTCAATTTTTCCAAAATAATCATCAAGCTAGTTCTTGGAAGAATGCTGATCCACTGGTAAAATCTAGTGTCAGCAAAGGCTTGGATGTCTTACAGCATCATGTTTCTGAGGACAACCAGCTTTTGCATTCATCTCTGGATATTGGTGACAAAGAGTATAGACTGCATGAGATGGAGAACAGCGATAAACAGGAGAACTCAAATGACAGCCATCGTTCTAACTTATCCCCTCATTCTTCTGCTGGTGGTGTTGGGGAAAATGTTTTGTCAGATGACAGGGATTCAAGGTTTCTGCCAGCTGGGAAGCAGCAGTTGTCTAATCATGTTGGTCGGAGAAATTCTTGGGCTAACAAGTTTCAGTACCATCCTATGGGTAACTTGGATAAGGATGCAGATCCTTCTTATGGAATGAAACACCCTACTCATTCTCAGCCTATGTTGCGGCAGACTGCCCACCATGGCCAGTCAATGTTTGCTCAGGTTCCTAATATTCAGGCAGAATTCGAAAAGGTTTTATATCTGATTTATGATAATATAATACTGTAAAGTTCTGTAAACCTGTGGTCAGTAGTGAAAGGACAATGTTTCCTGATTTACAGGCACGTTCATCTGATGTTCTGGCCGATGGCAAAGGCTTTGGTCAGGTGCGCTCTGGCGGCAGCTTTCCTGGTGGTGGATCTAATATGTCTTCACCGTTAAATAGATCTGTTGGGCTATCACCAAATACGGCTCCACAATCTAGGTTGTCAATTCTTTATTCTGTAGCTTACTTAGTTAATCTCTTAGGTACACAGCGATAGCTTATATCTCTAATCTCTTCATAACTTTACATGGTTCTTTGGAACCATGTTGACTGTAAAATCAGCTGTACTACTCTTTTAATCTGTTCATGCTGTATAGATCTGTTGTTTTTGACTGGTTTTCTCATTGCAGTCCAAACATGCTACAGCTTCTTCAGAAGGTGGATCCATCGAGAGAGCATGGTGCAATGGCTCACTTCAGCAATTCTGAGCAGAAAGCATCATCTGAGGTGCCTGAATCCGGAAATGCTGATGGGTCTGGTGGACACCTCCGGCGAAATCAGTCTTCTGCCTCTCAAGGTTTTGGTCTTCAACTTGGTCCTCCATCACAGCAGATCTCTGTCAAAACCCATCTCTTGTCATCTGAGGGTCCTACCAGAGCTCTTAGCTCTTCACATTCAAGCCATGCTATCGTTGAGATTAGAGAAAAAAGTCAGGGGCAGATGCCCCGTCCTCATCAGGCTCAATCTTTGCCTGCCCCGTCAGACCTCCGACCACAAGAGTTGAAGCATAGTACATCTAGAGTTCCAGGAAGTACAACTAGTGAAACTACTATGCACACCATGCCTGGGAACTTCTCTTCAGCATTTGAATCAGCTTCTGTCCTTACCCACTCGAGAAATCAACTTCAAAATCCCCACATGGTTAGGGCTAGTGGGCAAGACTCCACAAATCAATCTATTAGTGTATCTTTTGATGAACATGCTCCCCATTCAACAGAAAAAGGAGATTCTGGCAGAGGACCCTTGCTGAATGGGGCTGGCAATATACCGTATGGCCCTGCTCTCTCTGGGGGCAAGTCTCAGTTAAGTAATGCCAGTGGTCCCCATGGAAGCGTCCCTACTAATCGAGTGTCAGCGAAGGAGTCAGTATCAGCCTCTCCATCTTTTTTAACTCCTGGGATATCTCTGCAGGGTGCATCTTCCAAGAAGTTCGCTAATATGCGGATGAATTTCCCACCACCACAGCACCTTTTTAGTGGTCAGTATAGCAAGGAGCCTTCCCATATTCCCCAGCCGAATCAGATGAATATTATGGAGTCATCATTATCTGCTCCAGAGAGGCAAGGTGATCAAGATGCCTATAGAGGAGGGGCTTTCATGTCTGGGCTTGGTAGTAGTTCAGTGACTTCTCTGTGTTCTGTTGAGGCAGAAGAACTGCGAGAAAAGGAGAGCACTTCTGAGCCAGCAGCTTCGGATAATGTGGACTTAGTGCAGAAAATGATTGATTCACAGGGTGGAGAATCTATTGTCAAGAATCTCCCCGAAGGATCTCCTTCAAATTCGGCCTCTATGCAGAAAGATATTGAAGCCTTTGGCCGATCACTGAAACCAAATAGCTTTCCCAATCAAAGTTACTCCTTACTAAACCAAATGTGGAGCATGAAAAACGCGGACACCGATCCATGCAATATGGCCCTCAGAAGAATGAGGGTACCAGACAGCAATGTAGCTGCACAGCAAGTTCCTTCTGCTGATTCTAGAATGCTAAGCTTCTCTGGGCAAGATGATTTGCAAAGAAGTGTGTCATTTCAACATGGAGGAAGGATGACTCCTCCGGATGTTGCATTCCGTCAGGATGAATATCAGACTGGCTCTCATAACGGTGATACTAATTCTGTCATGCCTGAGCAAACTCAGATCAGTCCACATATGGCACCATCTTGGTTCAACCGGTACGGAAGCTTCAAAAATGGGCAGATGTTACAGATGTATGATGCACACAGAGCTGCCGCCATGAAGACAGCTGAACAACCTTTCACACCTGCGAAGTCTACCAGTGGTTTGCATGCATTTAATTCTATTCAGCAAGTAATCCATGCAACTGCTGATAGAAGTCAAATTGGTAATCTTGGGCCAAGTTCAATTGCCAGCTCTGCTGCAACTGAACATTTTTCTTCTCTACAAATGTTGCCTCTGAACATTGGTCAGCAGCACCCAATCTTGAAACCCAAAAAGCGGAAACGTTCTACATCTGAACTCACTCCTTGGTACAAAGAAATTTCTCTGGATCTATGGAGCGATCAGACAATCAGGTTCTCGTTTCACAGCAACTTTTAATAGATCCCTTTCCTTTTAAGCTATTTGTCTGCTGCCGGATGTTTTCTGTTATTCCTTTTGTTGTTTTCATTTTGGTTGTTATGTTATTTCCAGCTTCATATTTATTGATGCATGTTAATTTTTTCGTTGGCAGCCTGGTGGATATAGAGTGGGCCACAGCAGTTAATAGGGTTACCGAAAAGGTATCTTGATTTGCCTACTAAAATCCTATTATTTCTACAATTTGGTTGCATTTCAGTTCTGACAGCCTATATTCTTCTAATAATAGGTTAAAGAAATTGAGTCGGTTGATGATGGGCCACCTAGGCTTAAAGCTAGAAGAAGGCTTATATTGACCACTCAGCTTATGCAGCAACTATTTTATCCTCCGCCTGCAGCAATTCTTTCTGCAGATGCTAAATCAGAGCATGAGAGTGTGGCTTACTCCATATCCAGATTGGCATTAGGGGATGCATGCAGCATGGTCTCTTGCTCGGATGGTGATACCAATATGCCTCATGATGGAAAAGAACCGTAAGTTCTAGTTATTACTTGAGATTGATTAATTGCATCTAGAAATTTGTTGCTTCAGTCCTAATATTTTGTTTGGTGTATTATTAGATTTCCTGACAAGTGCAAGGTATCTGAGAAGAAAAATTGGCATCAGTTTGCCAGAGCTATGGAAACGTTAATGGGAAGAGCGAGGAAGTTAGAAAGTGACTTTGTTAGGTAACTGGCTCATATTCGTTTATGCTTCTGTCTTTATTTGATACTAACAAAAGCAGCTTCCATCAATTTCACATGGTTCTAATTTTGCTACCACTATGGTGCAGTTTGGACAAGAGAGCGTCGGTATTGGACGTGATAGTGGAAGGACAAGATTTGGAGAAGTTCTCAGTCTTCTATCGATTTGCAAAGTTTCATGGTCGGGGGCAATTCAATGGTGCTGAGTCATCATCAACAGATGCAGCTGCACATAGCCATAAATCTTTTCTGCAAAGATATGTCACTGCGCTTCCAATGCCTAAAAATCTTCCTGATAGGGTACAATGTCTTTCATTATGATCATTAATTTAGTTAATATTTTTTCCGCGTTCTCGTCATCTATCCAGTAGCTCCCTAGGAAGTTTTGTCGCTAATTATGTACTGGCACTAGCAGCAGCATGAATAGAACCACACAAATGCAATTGCAGAAAGAACAGTCTCTAAATTGCCACCTCAAATGCAGTATAGGCAGTCCATTTTGCACGTTAGCCAATTATGACATTGTCAAGAAATGTGGTTCATTCCATGTGCATCTCTCCCGAGCTAGAGAGAGAGATGTCCATATATAGTTAGTTCAGTGTTGTGAATGTAATGGTAATTATTTAAGTCAGGTTTAGTGCACTTCAAGTTCGCATCTTCTAGGTAAATATATAATGTATAATGCCTAGGCTTATCTTAGTAGGTAAATATGAATTGTCAGCTTTTGCGAAATTAATGTTTTGGCTGTATGTACCTTTTTCATATTCCCGCTCTCTTCCCCTCCTCCCTTCCGCCCCCCCAAAAGAAAGAAGGATTTCTTTAGACCCCCATAAAATAGAACATGGTAAAACTGTTCAAATGTCAGTGGCCACGTTTTCTCTGGTCAACGCTGCTTCAGGCGATGAGTGGCAGCATGTTGAGCCAGGCTTTGATATTTACATGGTATGAGTTGGGAAGAAATTTTTGACTAGTTTGACCTAACATTTTGTTTTATGCGGTTGCTTACAGAAAGTAAAAAAACTGATGGTTAAGACGAACTGTTTTGTCCTCGGCAATTCCCAAAAAGCAAGTTTGGAATAATAACTTAAGCACTGAAGTTGCTGGGATTATCTCCGTTCATGTACTTGAGTTAGCTTTTTATGCTGCTGTTATAAAAGATATACTAACAGTTCAAAACAGATTCCTTTCAGTGAAATTTTACGTGAATGCCAATTTTGGAATCCACACTAGTCTCGTCATCAACGTATATATCTCAGGGTAGTGAAGCGTATATTCTCCCTCCCTATTAGTGGTGGCAAAATGGAAACCAGTTATAAGAACCATATTATCCACAAAGAAAATGGAGAATTAATGGATAACTAATGAGTTTAACTTTTACATTTATAAAACTTCAAATTGGGGTTCTTCAAGTTTGAGAGACTTAGAATTCCCCAAAAGTGATCACATTCAAGAAGCCATGTGTTAACCCTTTTTTTATCCGTATTAAAATGGGCCTGGTCGAATAATTTATCCGTTTTTTTGTATTACTCATTTTTTTGACCTATCCTTATCCACCCGACCCACCCGACCCGTCCATTTGCCACCCCTACTCCCTACTAATGAAATGTCGGCTTGTCTTGTGCTCACTTGGCTGACCATCTTCATCTTAAATCCTCTGAAGTTTTTAGTTAAGCTGTTATTGAAAAAAAGAAAGAAAGAAAAGCTTAATTAAAGAAAGTGTAACGTGCACCTCCTGTCTTACTATAGCAGAAAACTCGCCCACTCCCTGAAGAAACATAGGGTCAGTTAAAGCCTTAACTCTACCATCGTCCTGAACAGTGTAGTGAAATTTTGTATATTCCAATATCAATAGTAGATGCATAAATTGGAGTAGTAGATTTAGCACCTGAATGAGACAAAAGAAGAAATACAAGAACTTCTGCAGACCCAGAAAAGTACTTTTGTATCAGTTACATTTGAGTAATCAATTTAAAAAGTATTTCTGAAAATATCAAAGTGCTAGCTAAGAGCGAAATTTTCTTTTTCAGCTTTTGAAAAAATAATTTATACTGCTATTCAAAAGCGTTTATTTTTTTTTTCTTCTTAAAAGATTAGCCAAACATTTTAACTCTATAAAATAAGCACTTTATTTATTAAAAAAAAAATACTTTTGACTTCACATCAACTTGACAAAATCGGCTATAAACCTGCCGTGATAATGAAAAACAACATCTATAATTTACAAATTTTCATCAAATAAAACAATGACGGGTCTCTAATTAGTATCATTATTGCCTTTCAGATTACCTAGTTTCTTTGCCATCGGGCAGAAGATATTCTGAAAGTCTTATGATAGAATATCATATACCTTGAACGTTGGAGTATATCCTAAAGTAAAAGAGCATGGTTTCATTAGTAGGTAGAGCATGTCTTGCAGCAAAACGAAGTTTCTTTAATTTTAATTGATTTCAAGTTACAGATGAATATAATCTTCCGGTCTTGCTACCTCAAAACATTTTGCAGAGAAATGGTGATGCCATTAATTAATTAGTAGTAATACGCCCAAAAGAAAGCTTTTTACAGCAAGAAAATGTTTTTTTTTTCCCAAGCAAAACCTCCTTGCAACAAACATAAAGAAAACATACTACTACTAAGTACAGTATTTGATAAGGAGGGAGCAGAGCAATCATAGAAGTGGAGAAGGCAGCAAAGTTGAAAATATCGGATCCATTTCCAATGGGTTAGGACTAAGAGTGTGTTTGGTAGGAAAGAAAAAGTTTTTCATGGAAACATGGAAAATGAGTGATTTTATTACTTATTTTTTCTTGTTTGGTTGGTGCGTGAAAACTGTTTTCGGAAAATATTTTTTAGTGTTTGATTAGAGAGTATACAATATTTTTAGGAAAATAATTTTTATGCTACTCTCCTCAACAAACCTTCCCAAAATCCTCATGTTTCATGTACTCCTTCCCCACCTCCGGAACTCTATTTTTTTTTAAAGAATTTAATTATTCTTACAAAATCCACACAAAACCCAAAGGAACATTGTGCTGCTTTACTTTTTCACACAAGAACAATGTTGAAATTTGAGTTCAATAACTTACAAAAAAAATCCTTTTTTTTTTGTTGAAAAAGAAAATATACTTTCTACAACATGAAAAAAATTACCCATTTTGTTGAATGAAAGAAAATATTTTTTCTTTATCATGAAAAGAAAATACTCAATTTTGTGAAAATGAAGGAACATATTTTTTCTACATCATGAAAAGAAAGTATTCGTTTGTTGAGATGAAAGAAAATACTTTTTCTACACCATGAAAAAAAAATACCCGTTTTGTTGAAATGAAAGAAAATAATTTTTTCTACATCATAAAAAGAATATAATCATTTTGTTGAAATAAAAAAAGTACTCTATTTACAACATGAAAAGAAAGTACTCTTAATAATACTTCTATTTAGGGTGGGTAGTGGGCGAGGATGAGGTGGGTGTGGTGTGGTGGGAGGTAGGGGTTGTGGTGGTTGGGGGTGAATGGGGGTGGGTGGGGGTAGGGGTGGTTTGTGGTTGGCATGGATGGGGTGGGTGGGAGTGGATTGGTGGGGATGAGAAATATGGCGTAGAAGGTTGGAAAAGAGTTTTGAAAAATACTTTCATTCTTTTGACGGGGAAAATATTTTCCCTCCAATTGGAGGAAAATGATTATAGTTTACGAGAAAAATATTTTTCAAAATATTTAAGCTAACCAACATGGGAAAATTAAAAAATATTTTCCTTCATACCAAACACACCCTAAATGTGCACTTATTTTTAAAACTTTGAGAACAAATAGTGCTATGCGATTATAAATAAAAGAATTAACCTAAATAGTCGTTCACTCAATCACTTAAGTTAAAAAGACATATGTATAATACGAGTGAAATTCATGTATTAGTTCATACACAAATTTTAATTTATCTACCGGTAAGTACTAAAAGTGCTTTTAAAACAAAATCATCCAAAATTCATAAGTTGGTGGCATCCCAAATGTATGACTTTTCAGCTTATAAGTATTTTTAATTTGACAAAAATATTTTATTATTTTATCTCTAATATATTTTGTACTCTTCAATATCATTTCCTAAACACAACTACTAATTCCCTCTCCATCACTTCCACCGATTGTCATTTTTATATAAAGATACTTTCAAATTTATACACTATATAATTCTTATAAGTTTTATAGATATTTAAGTCATTTTAACAAAAAAAAAAAAAAAAACATGCTTATCAGTACTTTTTGATAAAAATTTAAATTATTTATCAATTTCACATGTTAGTGCTTTTGAGCTATACTTTATAAATTGGATTTTTTCACTTTTAACCCGTGCCAGAAACTATTTACATTCGGTAGTCCGTACGAATTTTTTTTAATTTTATTTATACACTGTATATACAAAAAATACAAAAGTATATATTTCAGCTATTATTTTGAGAGCGGCGAAATTCAAAAATAGCCAGATTTACAAATGGTAATTGAAAATAGCCCCAGTTTCAAAAGTAATCGAAATTTAGTCATTTTTCATATAAAGATAAATATGAACGAAAACACTGTTTAAAATCCGGAAAATATTCCAGCATAATATACTGAAGTTCCAGTATAATATACTGGGATTCCAGCATAATATATTGTAGTTCCAATATAATATAGTGGTCCAGCATAATATGCTGGAATTCATACACATGTGTTCCAATCTTCAGTATGTTATGCTAAAACTTTTCGTGTTGCAGCAAAATAATGCTTATTTTTCAATGACTTTGCAAATACTGGCTATTTTTCAATTACCAGTCAAAAAACTGGCCAGTCCATGCTATTTTCACTGTCATTTTACCAACTATTTTAACCTGCTAATCCAAAAGCGCTCTTAATTTGCTTCGTCACCAAGGCAACTTTCCCAAATTTACCTCCCAAAAAATCGTTCCATTGGACAAATACGGGTAACTCAAAGATCGTCGACAGAGTTTTATACAGGGAAGTTGCTTCTGCCTGGTAAATCGGTATGCACATTGTATACTCTTCAACTGTATTTGAATTTTACACCTAGCAACGGAGAAATTGTTCTCTTCCTGCTTAAACATGTTGTACTTTTACTCATTGTAGTGTTGATGTGGGTTTTTTTACAGTTGAATCGTTTATTCTTTTGGCGTAATGTAGTGTTGTTCCTTGAAGCATCAAAATCAATGTCCCCCTAAGAAATTTGTAAAGAAAGAGAGAAAAATGGGGGAAATTGGGACTTTCAAATGGAGTCGGACGACGGGACGAATGGGTTGGGTTGCTATCAAAAGACCCGTGAAGTAGTTCATTCAAAGAGGCAACATATAATAGGGCAAAGATCACTTTTAGCTCGAGTCTGAAAGTATTACATTTGATAGCCGCAAAAGTGTATAAAAATGTATATATATATATATATATATATAATATTTTTCGGCTATTATTTTGAGAGTGGCTATACAATGTCATTTTTTTTAATATAATATCCCTTAATTCATTTTTACTCAATGCTTCGATATTTTTTAGAATAATGAATAAATTATTTGAACTACTTCCTAACCCTATTTTAAGCTGTTAAACATTCCTTAAGAATAGTGGTTTGTCTACGATTCTCTGTGGGTTGTGTTTAACTAGGTAGTATAAATTTATTTATCAGAACTAATTATGAACCGTGCTGTTAATAAAATAAAATTTGATTTCTTTTTCGTGATTCATATCTTTGATTTTTTCCCCGCAATGAAGTATCATTGCAGAGAACAGCAAATTCCTTTTTAATTATTCACACTAGTTTAGTCTTAGAAGAGGGGAGATGAGGAAGCAGCTGAGGATGTCGTGGCAGCGGGTTTGTAGGCTCATAATGGTAAGCCAGTTACTCTAATCTAATTTTGATCTGCCTCTAAATTATGCCTTATTAGCAAATCTTGCAATATATTTTCTTCTGAAGCCAAAAATCCTTGTGCAGATATCTAGACCATTTGGGAAGTCGTTGCGAGATAAGGCAATAGCAGTTGCAGGAAGAGTCACTGTGAAGAAAGATGGAATGTCTTTGAAAGCTTCATGTCCGGTGTGTTTGGAAATTATCAGCACACCACTTGATTCTGATCTGAAAATGACGTTGGCTGTACACATGAGCTTATGGCACCCGGATGATGTTCAGTTGCACTGGGAAATGATGCAAAACAAAGGAAGATCAATTGTTCACATGCCCTCTTTCTGCTTTGGTGTTGGGACGGCTGCTGGAATTGGAGCTCTGATTGTTTTTCTTGCCAGAAGCCATGCTCGAGCATTTGGCAATAAAAGGTGAAGCTTATCTCTATGTCCGGCTAGAGAGAGGTTACGATGATCTTTTTCTGTTTTGCTGCTAGTTTTTGCCTCAGTTATGAAGAATTAGCCTAGTCTAAAGCTGCTACTTCGCGGAATTAGGAAATCAAATAGATAGACTTTTCAAGTGGATGAATGTTGTGAGTTCATATTATTGTTATAAAAGATCCATGGGATGATAGTAGTTAGAGACGGCAGAGGAGTTTTCCTATTTCTCTGTGAAAGATTATGTGATTTTTTTTGTTCCTGATCTGTGTTACTACTAGTTACTATTTGTTTATTTGTTTTGAGTAATCCATTTTGTTCCTTCCTTTCTCTTCAACGTTACGGAAAGTATTTTATTTTTCAGAGTAGTTTATGTATTTTTTTTCTTTTGGAATGTATTTTATCTAAGTTTTTACCATTCTACAACAACAACAACGACAAAAAGCCTAGTGCAATCCCCAATACTGGCATTTGTTTTATTGGGAAGTTTGTGAACATAACGTCGGATAGTTGTGGGAGTTTTGAAATTTTGCTTAGTACACAAAAGAAGCTCATGGAGAAAGTGTCTCAAGCAGTTTAAATCTCCCAAAAAAGGAAAAGTTTCAACTGAACCACACACGCATGAAACGCCATATTTCAATCAACTGGTCAACAACATCAAATTAAAGTAATCCAGATTTTGCTTATTCTTGACTAAATTGAAAAGGTACTTTACCAAGGTAGTGAGTGTAATCAGCTAGAGGTGGCAAAATAGTTAAAAGAAAACAGTTATCCACCCATATTATACATCAAAAAATGGGTTGGATGATGGGTTGGTAATGAACCATTTAAAAACGGGTCAAATATGGATAAAGAACCATACTATCCACTTAGAAAATGGTTAATCAAATGGATAACCAATGGATAACTAATGTGTTTAACTTTTACATTTGTAAAGCCTCAAATTGGAGTTAGTGATCATATTTAAAAAGCCATGGATAATATGGATATTCATATTATCCGCCAGATAAACCCGTTTTTATCCGTCTCAAATACGGGTCGGGTGGGATAATCCGTTTTTTAAATTATCCGTCATATCCGACCCGACCCGCCTGTTTGCCACCCCTATAATCAGCTATAGATTCAGGAAGGATAAGTGTAAGGTAACTAACCAAGGTATATTAAGTGAGTTAAATCAGCTATATACTCGGGAAAGAAGAATGTGCCCTCTTTCTGTTATAACAAACCATGCATCAACTTTGGCTGTGTACGAGTCTAAGTCGTCATCTCATACAAACTGTATAAAATCAAACAAATTTATAGCAGAGGTGGTACTTGGAAATTGTCCATGGATACCGATGGCCGTAAAGTTTTTGGCAGTCATGGCCATGTTCTGGTGATGACTTATCCCTTACAAGGTCACGCAGCGCCTCTCATCAAACTTTCACATCGTTTAGCCGAGTATGGGGTGAAAGTCTCATTTGTGAGTACAGAGTTCTCGTCTGCAACTTTGTCCGATGAAATTCCAGATTCTGGGGAAGGAATGATTCGTCTAGTCTCGGTTCCTGATGGGCTCAATCCTGAGGATGATAGGAAAGATTTACATATATTGTCTGAAAGTATTAGGAAAGTTATGCCTGCTCATTTGGAGGACTTACTCAACAAGGCCAGCGACAAGGTCACTAGTGTTATACTCGATTCACCATTAGGATTTCTGATCGAAATTCCTAAGAAATTGGGGATCAAGACTGCTATTTATCTCTGTTCTACACCAGGATGCTTGGCCTTGGGTCTCAATATATCTAAGCTTATGGAAGCAAAAGTCATTGACACTGATGGTAAGCTAATGTCCCTTATATATAATCCTAAACTTTTTATTGTTAATATTGATCGTCTGCCCATGTACATAAGAACAAAAGAGATTTGAGAAGTAAAACTTAAACTGAAGCAATGTATGATCGACTGATTCAACTGAATCAAAACATTTTTTATACGGAACATAAATATATATGTGAAATATCACAAAAATTTCAATAAATATTAAAATCTGGACTCGTAATTGCAAATTAGTGGTGAGAATATAAAAGTTGAAGTCATCTAAGTTTAAATTTTGGACTCATCTCTAAACTTAGTGCCATGACAAACGTTGGCTGAGGCACTTATGAATCTAATCTTGGGAAGATTGTAACTCTTGCAGGAACTCCATTAAAGAAAGAAAAAATCCAAGTGCTGCCGAATTTACCAGCCATGAGCACTGCTGAATTTACATGGTACCATCCACAGGGCACGGATGCACAAAAGATAATGTTTGCATCTATTAAAGAAATTTTTGAATGGATGATAAGTTCAGACTGGATCATTTGCAACTGGTTTAGTGAACTCGCCCCTTCAGCTTCAGCTTTGGCCGCCAATATTCTTCCTGTTGGTCCGTTACTTGCCAATGGGCAATCTGCTGGTAGCCTTTATTCAGAAGATTCAAGTTGCTTGAACTGGCTTGACAAACAAGCTCCAAAATCAGTTATTTATGTAGCCTTTGGCAGCACTTCAAGATTCAGCCTACAACAGGTTGAAGAACTGGCATTAGGCCTCGAGCTTATGAATCGTCCATTCTTATGGGTGGCTTGGTCTGGCCTGGCAAATGGTTCGTTTGCTCTGTACTCGAGTGATTTTTCAGAGAGAGTGGCTAATCGTGGGAAGATCGTTGAGTGGGCACCTCAAGAAATGGTGTTGGCTCACCCTTCCATTGCTTGTTTTGTGACTCATTGTGGTTGGAATTCGACAATGGAGAGTCTAAGTATGGGAGTCCCTTTTCTATGTTGGCCTTATTTTGGAGATCAGTTATATACACAGACTTGTATTTCTGATGGTTGGAGAATAGGCTTATCGTTGAATGCAGATGAGAAAGGGATCATTTCCAGATATGAAATTAAGCAAAAAGTGGAAGATTTGTTATCAGATGACAGCATAAGAGCAAATTCACTTAAGTTGAAGGAAATGGCTAGAAACAGCATAAGTATAGGAGGATCTTCCACCAAAAACTTGGAATTCCTTGCATCACAAATGAAGCAATGAACATACAAGGCTTGATTATTAATTTTAATTACGTATGTGGATAAGTGAAGTAAAATTGCTTATTGGCGTGTTATGGGCATTTGCCGAGCCACGTATAACTAAGGGGTGTCAACTGTCAACTACTGACGATCCTCCCCCAGAAAATTACACTATGTTGATATGTAAAAGAACTCTATTTTATGCATATATATTATATGTTGAATCCCCTTGGCCTTTTCGTATATTTATCTTCTTTTTTTATATTTTGACACCCTTTAGTGAAAATTTTGGTTCAACCATAGATTCTCTCTGTAAATAGAAGTTAATTTATTATGTATGTGGATAAATGGGTTCAATTGAGGTATTGTGTTTATCTTTTGTTTCTTAATCTAGCTCTTTTTGTCCTAAATAAATATATTACACTAAAAGCTATAGCGAATGAATGTACGAAACAGAAATTTAGAGAAAAGATCGATAAATAACAATAACAACAACCCAGTGTAATCACACAAGTGGGGAGAAAAGATCGATAAACTCTATTGATTATGAACGGTTAATCATTTCCACAATACATCACGAGTTAAAATTATTCGTCGCTTCAAAATTCTGACCAAATTGCCAGTTAGTAGGAACAACATTATCAGATTGAACCCATTGGCCATCACTAGTTTGTACTTGGAAAGACAAGCTCTGTCCTACCAATTGTGCAGAAGTTTGCCAATTTTGGCCCCAATTTCTTGACATAGTAATCCAACCAGTTTTAGATCCTTTGATTTTGACATTGGCCACATCTCCAACACCTCCAACATTGTAAACAAGAACAAGAATCCAATAAGGATTCCCTTTGATCTCAAACTTGATCCCTCCTTTTTTGTGGCACTTGACTCTCCTATAAACTACAGGAACAACCCCTGCTTTATATTTGGCTATTTTTAGAAACATTGGCTCTGACAAATCAAAGTGTTCTTGGGGAGGATTGCACCAAACATCTACAGTTTTTGTGTAATTTGGTGGGCAGAAATTGGTGGCTGTTATTGTAATTTTCACCCCTGCATTGCACCATTGAGGAGCATTTACACACATTATTTCAAAGCAAGCTCCACATGTTGCCCCATTGTGAAAAAGTGCTGTACTTAGTGCTGCTGTTTCCAAGCCATATCCTTGCTGGAATAAATTTCCATAGCCACAAGCTCCCTCTGCAATAGTATCCAAACTTTCGTTAATATGTATATTGTGAACCAACCAAACTATGCAATATCTTTTTTTTTTGGTACGTTGGAAATATTAAATGGAAATATTAAAATCTCTCATAAGCTACATTGCTTAAATCTACCAGGAGCAAAAGCTACGTATACTTGATTGCTTCTTCCAGTGGCGGAAGCAGGATTTTCCCCAAGGGAATTTAAAAAAATAAACATGCGAAGAAGTTACCGGGATTCAACATCTTATATATATACACGAAAAAAAAAATTAAACCTTACATAGACAGTATAATTTTCCGCGAAGGGGATTCGGCTGAACCTCCTTCCACCCACCTAGATTTGCCCCTGGCCGCTTCCCATACTACAAAGTTGCAAATATTTTTTTACGCATATGTGAAAATGTTCATGTAATACCATCTTTCTCTGTTCTATCTTTTAATTCAATCTTCAGATGAGACGATAATAATCTTTCACATACTCGTGTCTAACCAGGACCACTAGCCTATTATTAGTAAAAACGTTTCATCAACTGAGCAAGCTTCACTTGTTTTTCTCGATTTCTATTTAGATGGAAAATTTGTTTCATTTCAAAGAAGAAAAAGAAAATTATAATTGTGAAATGACGTTCATGCTATCCATATCATGGTTTGGAAATCATGTAGCCTTTATAATATTATTAGTGCAAGTATTGTAACAAAGTATTGTACAAGTATAACTTACGCATGGTTTCGCCACCGGTTTGGTCTCCATAAAATGTAGCACGAGCATTCTCCACCCATCACCATTCAAAGCTCCTTCTACCTGTTTACTTTCAAATGCTACAACTATAAAACTAGCAAAAATGGTGACGAACAAACATAAAAAAGTTTGATGTCTTGCCATTTTAGGCTTAACAATATTTCTCTAAATTAGTTTCAACTCTGTGGTTGATTTGGCTGGATAATGGAGTGCTTTCGCGTGAAATTTATAGCCAAAATCTTAAGAGGGTAACAACACTAAGGCCATGAAAAAAAGATAATCCCAATAGAGATTACAATTGTTGTTGTAAATTTAGAGATAACGGAATGATTAATTTCGCAAATTAATGCAATAATTTAGTCATTTGCTATTATACTAGTAAGATTGCTGCAATTTAGCTGGTCTTCCCAATTAGTCATGATTTGCTTTTACGTGCATATAAGTAGGCAATCTGCGTCAGTTTTGCTAAAGATAAATGGGGTTAAGTTACTTCATTTGTCTTATATTTTAATGAGAAAAGTAAGATAATAGAAAATTAGAAAGTGGCTACCAGTAAAATGTAAGGAAGAGCTTTTTTTTTCTTTATTACTTTTCTAATATTGGGTCTTTAATGTAATTTATTATACATTACAACAATCAGATTACTTATAGTAATGTGGTAACTAAGAGTACTAATTAGATTAATTTTTTAGAGTACCTAATGATCATTTCACTTTGATACTTAGAAAAAAAGAACTTGGCTTATCTCGTAAATTCGATTTTGTTTAAAGCGAATGATTGAATGAAAAAAATGATAAATATTGATATTGATAATCTTTCAAAGAATTAACAATAAAAATCATTATTTCAATGGATAAAATGTCTCAAACGTACTTTAATTCAACTAAGAGAGAAAAACGATGTCAATTTCTTTGTAGTTGTTAACTGCCTTCAATTATGTTCGTATAAATTTTAAACACTCAAAGTCAGAAATGTTTTCTAGATATTCAAAAATCTTTGTCAGTATTGATTTAATAAAATTAAATCATGAGTAAACAAAGAAAAAGAATGGGAAGACCAAAAACAAAACAAATAGAGGTGACGGATTCGTATTCTTGATAAATTCTTATTTGTTCGGTGGCGAAACAAGAAAATTTTCCAATGGTGTTCAGACTAGAAAAAAGTAAAAAATCTCTTGACAATGGTTGCTCAATTTCTGTTTATACATCTAAAATTAATTTACTTATATATACGGTGTAATTTTTCGTAATATTTTGACGAAATGTGGTCAATTGACCATCCTTAGCAACAGGTGATTTCGCCCCTGATTTTGATTCTCATAAATTAGGCAAAACACATATAACCTTGAGGTAATTAAAATGTATATTTTTGGTCTCTTTATATAATAAATATATTTGGATAACTTCTAGAATTATATTATCTTCAAATATACAATTAAGCAGTTTAGCAATTAATAATTTGTTATATTTGTGAAGATTTTCAATCAAGGGGATCAAAAGTGCATATATAAATTAATTGAAGGTTGAATGAGCTTAATCAGAAATCACAAGGTCCAAAAATTCGAATTTGTTGATATTTGAGGGACAAAATGTGTAAAAATTCTCAGTAATTTAAAACCAAACAGCTTCTATTTCGCTTTGCAAACACACAGGGCAAGTTCTAGGTATCGCATGCAAGCACAGAATGCAAGTAATAGCTCACACACACTTGGCATATAACTCATTCCGAATCAGTTTATCAACACACTCATACGAGCGTTCAAGCAAGACAAGATGTGCAAAATTAAGGCATCAAAGTATGAGTCTACAAACGAGCCTAGACGTCGCACCCTCAGTTCGTTTTTGTTATTCTCAGGTGTGTACATCTAGAGTTGCATTCTAGCCTTCACCCATCTTGGTCCTAAAACTACAAAAGAAAAATCTATCTAACCCGGTTCAAGAAAAGCCCTTGGAAAAGAACCGTGGTCAAAAGAAAAACCAAGGGATAATTACTACACTACCTAAAAAATAAAATAAAATAAAGAAAAATCTACCTGGACTACTTCCCTCAAGAGTACTGTCCAAGTGGTCCGTCCTCAGGAAGAGTCCTCTACAATTTTTTTTTTTTTTAATTATTCAATTAAACTAACACAATTAAAATATCATAGAAAGTCACCCAGATAATCTCCTCACCCCACACTTAAAATTGTACATTGTCCCCAATGCACACCATACTAATAAGAGGGTAAAAGAAACTCCCTGGTAGGGCAAAGGCCGAAGCACTAGCAGATCATGGGGTACTCAGGCTTCTCCCAAGCTTGGTCCTTCGTGCGGGTACCTCACACTTAGTTCCAACCATTTGGTTTGCTGTTGCATCCTTCCAATACCTTTGCTTTCCATGCTCCTAGAAGAAGAAAAAAAAAATTGACACACTTTTCTCGCCACTTGGATGATATGAACTGGGCACCTAGCTTGGAATCAAGCTTGTGACCTCGAGCGATCGGGGGTGGTACGTTGATGATCGAGCCAAGCTTTAAGTACTTCATTTTGCACTTCTTGGCTTTCATGTGAGGAATGTCATTTTGCCTCCTTGTTCCCTCAAATTGTAAGATGAATGGTTGTTGCCTTTCCTCCTTGCAATCCTTCATTGAGTTGTGTAGATCAATTCCCATATCACCACACAGGTCCCATGTTGAAAAATGCTTGGAATGCGACTTCAAACCTTCATTTTGCAATTTTTCTCGGATTTTGACATCCTCTTTTTCCCCCGGGTTAGAGTCAATCTCAACCAAATTTTTATTTACACCGGTTGACTCTAATCCTATTTTTTTCTCGGCATCATTAACACTCATGGAGTCGGTTGGCGGATGTTCAATTCTTGAATCCTCGAAGTAATGCTCACTTTCTTCCTCGAAATTGGATTCTTCTTGGTTTTGATCAAGTGCCAAGGAAAGATTTTCGGCTTCCACATCTAAGGAAAGTTCTTGGCTTTCATTAACTTCCGAGGCTTTTTGGACCTCTAAAGCTTCAAGCATTTCTCCCATTTGTGAGTGACACCTTTCAAGTGCCAAGTCATTTCGGAGACTATTTTCCAAAAGCTCCTCCAAGGTACTTTGTTCTTTGTTTCCTCCTTCAAGTAAACATTCCAACATGAGCTTGAACTCTCCATTTCGGCCATGCTCAACTTCTTCAACTCCCATGGCCCTATAATTTTCATCACAAAAAGTAGAATCATCATAGTGTGGGCTTGGGGAAGGGAAGGACAAATAAGCACAATCATCCCAATAACCATTTTGAAAACCACACTTATCACAAATACTCCACTCATGGGTTTGAGATTGTGCACACAATCCACCCCTGGGAGAATTTAAACAATTTTGCCACGAGTGTGGTCCTCCATAATAAGGACAAGGGTCATCAAAGTATGAACAACTACCATCCGACCAATTTTTATTATATGATGCCATTTTTCAAATCTAAGAAAATAAACACGAATAACAATAAAAATAGACCAAGGTAAGAAAAATTAATTACACAAATATTCACAAGTTGGGTATAGAGAAAACTGACTACACTAAGAATTTTTGTACTTCTTTCAATTGTAATTGATAACACCGTTAATTCCCCGGCAACGGCGCCAAAATTTGATCACGCCCAACTATGCCTTATAAAAAGGACAATGCGGACGTTGCAAATATAACCTGAGTATTGTGCCCAGAGTCGAATCCTCAGAGAATTAACCTATCAATCACTATCTTTAGACCTACTAAACTCTTTAGAATCAATTTCCCAAACGTTGAGAATCACAGTTGATGGTGTTTTTAATAATTAAGATTAACAGTAACTAATAGCTGCAAAGTAAAGATGCTAAGCTGTAAACAATAATGAGAAAGCGCTAAGGTACTGATTTCCCTTATTGATGGAATTCCTTCTGTTTATGTTTTATACAAATTCACCAACACATCCTATCAATCATGAACGCTCTTCTTACCGTAAATCTCTCCCGAGTAATCACAGTAATTTACTAAATGCACTCTCCCGAGATACACTAGCTAGCTTTATTTATCACAGTTCACTTAAGATTGCACCCAAGGCTTTGTTATTCCTAATCCCGCCTTTAAACCCGCAGTTATAGATCCCTCTTATACTTTGGGAGTGGTGTTGTTCAACAATAACCTAAATATGCACTCTCTCCCGAGTTATGCACACTACATAGGCACAGCTAATTGAGGATCCTGTCAATTAACTACAACAAACACATAGTTGAACAAATAGAGATTGAAACTAGCAATTTGTATTCACATAAATAAGAAGTTCATCCCTCAATAGGTTCCAACAAAACCTTAGACAAAAGATTTAGCTGCTCATGACTATGGGTAAATAAACTAGAACAATATTCATAATTATAATTGCAAGAAAAATTAAAGAAGAAGAAGATATGAAGTTTTAGGTGATCTCTCACAATTGTTTTGCTTGCTAAAAATATTCTCCAATATAATCCTCGCCTCCTTTGGGCGAAGTCTAGTGTTTAAAATAGGGTTTTGGGCTAAAAATCCCGTATTTTGCACTTAAGTCCCTGAACTTTTCCGCCTCTGCCGCGGTTCTGCCGCGGTCGCGGTCAAACCGCGGCCACACACCTTCTCTGAATCTCAACTTGTCTGCGACAGTCTTCTACCGCGGTTCTGCCGCGATCGCAGTGGAACCGAGGCAGTCCTTCTTCAGGCCTGGCTTGAGCTGCTTCGCGTGGTTCACTTGGCGGAATTTTACGATTGACCTCTTTTTCTCCATATTTGATCCCAAAAGTACTCCATAGCCTTCTCTTGTCATATATCACCTGCAAAGCATGAAAAACACTAATCAGAGCATTTTGTTATCACTTTTATCATCAAAACTATACAAGAAGGTGGTTCTTTAGGGCCTAATTATAGTTAAATTTACCTATTATCAATTTCCAGTACTGCAAAACATCTCTTTAACGTATTTCGTGGAAAAACTTATTCTATAACCTATAAATGAACAAGTTTGCTCTTCGTATGTTATCTTATTTTCTTCTGTAACAAAATTAACTTATTTTCATCCAACTTTTTCTTATTGGATGCATACTTAATCTTTTCAAGTGACTTAAAATTAAAGCCAATACATAAACAAAAAGGAAGAGAAGAAAATTGAAGAAAAAGAAGATACATTTCTCTGCATGCTATGTTTTAAGCTCGTCTTTCTTTTCTCTTTTACTGTATTTTCTATTTATATTCATGAGAGTTAAGAAATTATTTCAAAAATTTGAATAAAGGATAATAGGATAACCTCAATTCTGACTTGTCAATATTTTATACCATTATTTAACATGAGTGTGCTTTAAGCTCTGGATGTATAATTTGCAAATACTATGCAATCTCGATAAGGAGTTTCAGGTTTTGGACATGTTAACCTAACAAATAAAAAAATTAAACCATTATTCATATTTTGACCTCACTAAATTTCTTTTTGGAAAATATCCTCCTGTCAAAATTTTAAAACACGCTCAATTCAATTTTGAATTACCCGCCAAAAGTTTGAAGCACCAAAACTTTTGAGTTTTGAGGATCACCAGAATTTTGTAGCACCATTAATTATGATGATCATTAGAATTTTCAGCCACAATATTGAAAAATCCTGGTGAATTCAAGATTTGTGGTAAAATCTTACAATCACCATAACTATTGCGTGCTTTAAAATTCTGGCGTCCATGAAAAGTCCTGGTGAGCAAACTTTAAAATTCTGACATTAGACATTTTTCTAAATTTTTATTGAGTAATTTATGCTATATACCTAGGGGTGTCAATGGTTCGGTTCGCCCGGTTATTTCATGAAATTTGTACCATATCAATTTTTTGATTGTTCTATTATGTATAACCAAAATTAAACCTTTTGAAAATGTCCGAATCATATCGGTTTCTCTTCGGTATCGGTACGATTCGGTTAATTCTCGATACTTTTTTAAGTCACTAGTAAAAGTAGAATGCATGTATACGGTCAAAATCGGAGAGCTCGAGTTGGAGACTTGATTACATTCCGAGCCCGGGTTCGGGGAACTCGAGGTGAGAATCAAGCCAGGCCCGGGTAAGCACATCTCGAGAAATAAATTGAGGACACGTCATGATCTGCCTCGAGGGCAGTACAATTTCGAGGGCACTCAAGAAAGAGCGGGAATTTCCAAGAACACGTGGGTCAGGACTTAAATTATAGGATAAGATTTGTACGAAATAGTACAAGTCCGTACAAGGTTATTATACAGCTGTACCAATAGGATTCTTTATCATAATTGGAAATGTACCATATTAGGGTTTTTCCCTCCTATATAAAGGGGACCCCAATCATTTGTAAGGATATCTAATTGACTGCAATAGAACATTCCACTCTGCTTTTCTTGTTTATCGTGCTCAACATTTGGTTTTAGCTTTATTGTCTTTGCTTTATTGTTCTTAGATGACCTCGAGGTCCCTGGGTTAATCAAGCTTGAGGCCCCTATTGCTCCAACAACACTGATTTGGTTCACCAACTCTTCTTACTTAAGCCTAATATTACTTGTATAATCACTAGTATTAGAATATATCACATATCTTTAAAACCACAAATTATCTTTAATTGTTACTAATATTTTTTGAGGTAAACAGTTTGGCGCCCACCGTGGGACGAAAGATAATAGTGATTATTTTAGTGCTAGTTTTCTGATAACACATGTTATTCTTCACACTTTTTCTTGTCAAAGATTTTTTGATTTCAGGTCGAAATATGTCTAGCACACAAAATGCACCTGCTCACGACAGTGAGGGACTCGGAGAAAACAGCGGTATAGGGGTTGGTGTACCACCCATAAACCCTGAGGAAGTGCCAAATGTGGAGCCAGTTGATATCAGTTCGTACAACGCTCTAAACACGGACGCAGGCACAGACCCCCTAAGGAATGCACGTAGGGAAGCCCAAGCTGGAGGCCAGGAAACACGAGGAACGGAAGAAGGAGGAGTCAGCCTCCAAGTGATATTCGAGATGCTGCAAGCTCAGCAAGTCTCCATCGCTCAACTTCAAAGTCAGAACAGAACTCCTAACACTGCCGAACCGGTGAACGCCCGGCATGAACCAGCGCTAGAAATGCCCGATGAAAGTGGCTCGGGGACTGACCCCACAATCATGAAAATGCTCGAGGAACTGACTAAAAGGATCGGGTCAGCAGAAAAGAAGATAGAAGACAACGATAAAAAGATGGAAACTTATAACTCCCGAGTAGACGAGATACCGGGAGCACCTCCACTTTTGAAAGGTCTAGATGCTAAAAAATTCATACAAAAACCTTTCCCCCCAAGTGCGGCTCCGATGACCATTCCCAAGAAGTTTCACATGCCCGATATACCGAAATATAATGGAACAATTGACCCTAACGAACATATTACTTCGTACACTTGTGGAATCAAAGGAAATGACTTGAATGATGCTGAAATCGAGTCAGTATTATTGAAAAAGTTTGGGGAAACACTATCAAAAGGAGCTATGATCTGGTATCATAACTTAGCTCCTAACTCTATTGATTCATTTGCTATGTTGGCGGACGCCTTCGTGAAAGCACACGCCGGGGCCTAAAGGTGGCCACAAGAAAATTGGATGTCTTCAAAATAAAACAAAGGGATGACGAGATGCTAAGGGAGTTCGTGTCCCGATTTTAGATGGAAAGAATGAAACTACCGCCAGTCTTCGATGACCGGGCAGTTCAGGCCTTTATGCAAGGTTTGAATGAAAGAAGCTCGATAGCATCTCGACAGCTAAAGCAAAACTTGATCGAATATCCAGATGTGACATGGTCGGATGTGCACAATCGTTATCAATCAATAATTAGGGTCGAAGGCGACCAGTTGGGAGCCCCCTCGGGCTCAGTTCACCCTAACAGATTCGCGGCCAAGCCCCCGCGGGACACAGACCGGGATAAAGATTCAACAAAGAACGGTATCAACCATATGCCGATCGAAGGAACAACGGTCCGAGCCACAACACCTCTCAGAGCGATCGAAAAAGTGACCGTGGTCAAGTTTATCGAGGACTCATGGATAAGAACGGGTTTGATAAGCACGCCGACCCCGCCAAGGTCCCTCGATTATCAAAGTACAACTTCAGCATAGACGCATCAGGGATCGTCTTAGCTATTGGGAGAATCAAAGATACTAAGTAGCCCAGGACAATACAGATCGATCCCTCCCAGAGGAACCCGAACTTGATGTGTAAGTATCATGGCACACATGGTCATAGAACGGAGGATTGCAGGCAGCTAAGGGAAGAAGTGGAAAGGTTATTCAATGAGGGCCACCTTCGAGAATTCCTAAGTGATCGGGCTAAGAACCACTTTAGGGAAAGAGATGCAGGCAGGAAGAATGAACCTGAAGAACCTCAACATGTCATTCACATGATCATCGGTGGATACGACGTCCCACTGGGACCTATATTCAAACGCACCAAAGTATCCATTACAAGGGAGAAACGGACTCGGGATTACGTGCCCGAGGGCACCCTCACATTCAGCGAGGAAGACATCGAGGCCTTATCTCAGCCTCACAACGATGCACTGGTAATTTCTACTCTTTTAAATAAAGTTCAAGTTAAACGTGTTCTCGTGAATCCAGGTAGTTCGGCAAATATAATTAGGTCAAGGGTCGTGGAGCAGCTCAAGCTGCTCGATCAAATCATACCGGCATCTCGAGTCTTGAATGGATTCAACATGGCAAGTGAAACAACTAAGGGAGAAATCATCCTCCCAGTCAACATGGCCGGAACCATACAAGACATCAAATTTAATGTCATCGAAGGTGACATAAGGTATAATGCTTTACTAGGAAGGCCGTGGATCCATAGCATGAGGGCGGTGCCATCGACCCTTCATCATATGATGAAGTGCCCACAAAGAATGGCGTGAAAACAGTATATGGAGAACAACATGCAACTAATGAGATGTTCACAGTGCACGACTTGGCACCGATATTGACACCATCCATATCAGAAAATTTGAAGGACGAACAGGCAGCCAAATAGCAATCACAGACCGTGCCCTCGGTTGAGTCCGAGGGACAGATGCTCGATGAACAGGTAGCTGAGGACGAAGAAGAAGATCTCCTCATCCCCCGAGCCTTTGTTGCCCCCGAGGAATCGGATGCGACAAAGTCCACGGTCGAAGAACTCGAGCAGGCCATATTGATCGACCATCTTCCAGAACGAAAGGTATACCTGGGGACGGGGTTAGCCCCCGAACTCAGGAAAAAAAATCATTCAGTTTCTTATTGACAATATTGATTGCTTCGCCTGGTCCCACCTAGATATGACAGGGATCCCACTAGAGATAACTACCCATCGACTAAGTGCCGATCCCAGATTTAAACCAGTGAAGAAAAAGAGGATACCTCAATCCGAGGTAAAGCATGCATTCATCAAAGAAGAGGTAACCAAACTTCTCAAAATAGGATCCATCAGGGAAGTAAAATATCCCGAATGTCTAGCTAACATAGTGGTAGTCCCTAAAAAGGGGAATAAACTTAGAATGTGTGTAGACTACAAATATTTGAACAAAGCATGCCCTAAAGATTCTTTCCCATTGCCCAACATCGATCGTTTGATCGATGCTACGGCCGGCCACGAGATCCTTACCTTTCTCGATGCCTACTCCGGGTACAACCAAATTCAAATGAACCCGAAGGACCTGGAAAAGACTTCATTCATCACGAAATATGGTACATATTGTTATAATGTAATGCCCTTCGGGCTAAGAAATGCAGGAGCCACATATCAACGCCTAGTTAATAAAATGTTCGAACACCAAATAGGGAAATCCATGGAAGTTTATATTGATGACATGCTAGTTAAGTCCCTGCGCGCAGAGGACTATTTGACCTATTTGCAGGTGACGTTTGATATCCTAAGAAAGTACAACATGAAGCTCAACCCTGAGAAATGTGCTTTCGGAGTCGGCTTGGGCAAATTCTTGGGTTTCATGGTGTCGAACATGGGCATAGAGATCAACCCAGATAAAGTCAAAGACATCAAGGAAATCACCGTGGTAAACAATGTGAAAGCTGTACAATGGTTGACTGGAGGGATAGCTGCCCTAGGTCGATTTATCTCGAGGTCATCAGATTGGAGCCATCATTTCTTTCCCTACTCTAGAAGAAGAACAACTTCGCATGGACTCCGGAGTGACAACAAGCCTTGGAAGAATTAAAACGGTATCTTTCGATCCCACCCCTGCTCCATACTCCGAAGGAGGATGAAACACTCTACTTGTATATAGCCGTGTCCGAAGTAGCGGTAAGTGGCGTGTTGGTTCGAGAGGAGCAAGGTACGCAATTTCCTGTCTATTATATGAGTTGGACCCTAGGGGATGCTGAAACCAGGTACCCACATTTGGAAAAATTAGCCCTTGCATTAATAAGCGCATCCAGGAAATTAAAACCGTATTTTCAATGCCATCCTATATGTGTACTGACTACATATCCACTTCGAAATATCTTGCATAAACCCGAGTTATCGGGCAGATTGGCCAAATGGGCCATCAAACTTGGAGGATATGATATCGAATATCAACCTCGAACGGCTATCAAGTCTCAAATTTTGGCAGACTTCGTGGCCGATTTCGCGCCTTCCCTCATACACAAAGTAGAAAAGGAACTCTTGCTAAAAACGGGTACGTTGTCGGGGGTATGGACCCTTTTCACAGACGGTGCCTCAAATGTGAAAGGGTCTAGGCTTGGCATCATTTAAAACCACCTACGGGCGGTGTCATTAGGCAATCTATCAAGACTTCTAAATTGACTAACAACGAGGCCGAGTATGAGGCCATGATTTCAGGTCTCGAACTAGCCAAGGGCCTTGGGGCAGAAGTCATCGAGGCAAAGTGTGACTCCCTTTTTGTAGTAAATCAAATGAAAGGGAGCTTCGAGGTTCGAGACGATCGAATGTAGAGGTACTTAGACAAAATTCAAGTAACATTGCACCGCTTTAGGGAATGGACACTGGACCATGTACCTCTGGAACAGAACAGCGAGGCCGATGCACTTGCAAACTTGGGGTCATCGGTAGAAGAAGACGATATCATCACGGGGACTGTCATCCAACTATCGAAGTCGGTGGTCGAAGAAGGCCATATAGAGATTAATTCAACAAGTTTAACGTGGGATTGGAGGAATAAGTACATCGATTACTTGAAGCATGGGAAGCTCCCCGCGGACCCAAAATAGTCAAGAACACTTCGAGCCAAAGCAGCTCGATTCTCGCTCGATGAAAACGGAACGTTGTACAGAAGAACCTTGGATGGACCACTAGCAGTGTGCTTGGGACCCGTGGACACTAATTATGTACTACGGGAAATCCGCGAGGGTACTTATGGGAACCATTCTGGTGCAGACTCTCTGGTTTGCAAGGTGATCAGAGCAGGGTATTATTGGGATAGCATGGAAAAGGATACCAAGGAGTTTTTCCGGAAGTGTGATAAATGCCAGAGATTTGCACCAATGATCCATCAACCCGGTGAACAACTCCACTCGGTCCTATCCCCATGGCCATTCATGAAATGGGGGGATGGGCATCGTCGGCCCCCTACCAACGGCGCCAGGTAAATCTAGATTTCTTTTTTTTATGACTGACTACTTCTCAAAATGGGTTGAAGCGCAAGCCTTCGAAGAGGTAAGAGAAAAAGAAGTTATCGACTTCATATGGGACCACATCATATGATGGTTTGGGATACCCGCCGAAATAACATGTGACAATGAGAAACAGTTCATTGGCAGCAAAGTGACAAAATTCCTCGAGGACCATAAAATCAAAAGGATCCTATCAGCACCTTACCACCCAAGTGCAAATAGTCAAGCCGAGTCCACAAACAAAACCATCATTCGAAACTTGAAGAAAAGGTTAGATGATGCAAAGGGGAAATGGAGAGAAGTGTTACCCGAGGTGCTATGGGCATATTGGACGAGGTCGAAGTCAAGCACGGGGGAGACCCCGTTTTCTTTGGTATATGGGTCCGAAGCATTGATCCCATTCAAAGTCGGGGAACCTAGCGTCAGGTTTCAGCATGCCACCAAAGACTCAAATCGCGAAGCAATGAACACTTCCCTCGAAATACTAGATGAAAAATGTAAAGCCGCATTAATTCGAATGGACACACAAAAATAAAGGATCGAAAGGTATTACAACAGAAGGACAAACCTTCGACATTTCGGAGTCGGGGACTTAGTCTTGAGGAAAGTCACTCTCAACACTCGAGACCCAAACGAAGGAAAACTAGGTCCCAATTGGGAAGGACCGTACCTTGTACTCGGAGTCGTAGGGAAAGGATCCTACAAACTCAGCACAATGGAAGGCGAGCAACTACTAAACAACTGGAATGTATCGTTACTCAAGCAATATTACTGCTGAGGTATGACCTCCTCCCCTTTTCCATTTATATTTAAAACTAACTCCTTGCAGGTATTTGATTAGAGATATCGAGGCACCTTTCAGTTCGAAGATCTTGGGTTTTAAAGCATGCGTTGTACTCTTTTTCCCTTGGACCGGGTTTTATCCCAAGCGGGTTTTTCCAGCAAGGTTTTTAACGAGGAAACACCTATATGCTACCTATGGAATATTCAACAAGTGTTCAAGGCTTCCTTTTAATCAACCTCGAACACTGGGGGGCATCACCCTCGGAGGACGCATTCTCGAAGAAAGAAATTCATGCCAAGGAGGGCCTCGATAGGGGAATGTTGTAATGGGCCAAACGGTCAAATGAACCGTGTCCATGTAGAATAATTGATCTCCCAGCGGCAAAACATGTACACATGTACCAACTACTTGAAGAAGCATTTTTATTATATCAAAACACTTTGTGCATAAAAAAAGTGTATTATTTTCGCACTTAACGGCCTAAAGGCCAAAACCCCGAATGCACCCAAATACTCGGGGACTGTCATCAACAATCGACACATCGAGTCATCAAACACTCGATCTTATAAGACCTCAAAGAGGCACACTCGATTTCACAAGACCTTGGGCACCCCCTCGAAAATAATATACTCGGGGTCTAACTTTTCAAACAAGTTCAGAAAGTTATCGGGAAACAAGTCCAAGTGACAAACCCGAAGGCTACTACCATACTAAAGACTACGGTCACATAAAAGCTACGGCAAAATAGTGCGATTCGGAGACGTCCGATTTCTGCTATACATTAAAGGCCTTGAAACATTGAAAAACCGATTAAATCAAGCTACCCCCGGCAAAAGCAAAATATAAAGGGCTTCGATAAACTCGCCCCCCCGAAAAACCTACGGGCTTCGATAAATTCAGCCCTCGAATAATCCAAAGGCTTCGATAATACCAGCCTTCGAGAAAACCTCAAAAGGTATTCGATTATTTCTACACAAACAAAATGACTAACGAGGTTCCGATACGTTAAACCTTCGAAACACCTAACGGGTACAAAAACACATGCTAAGGCATAACTAAAATTTCACTAAGTCTTTTAGCCGAAATGAGGGAAAAAATTATATAGCCTTTTTAGAGGTCGATACGACCCAATTCAAAAGGCCTAAGGGCCAATTTTAAAAGAGCCTAAGGGCCAATTTAAAAGAAATATAGGGCCAAAAGCTTATGGGAGTCCGATATTTCACTCTCATTCAACTCGGACCCAAAGGCCCCATTGTTCCAAGCTCGCATCAAAATGATTTTAAGCTTGCCAATCATCTAAGACCTTAAGGGATACGATCTTGAGCAATAAAAACCTAAGGGTTTATTACGAGCCTTAACCGATACTCGAACTAAGCATTTGAATCATCGGAATTTCCCACAAACAGGGACAAAATAATAGTCAACACAGATCAAGGATAGAGCAAAAAGATACTTTATATTCATAATGGAAAGTTACAACACATTTACAATGCCCACAAGGGGCCCTTGCTCAAAAAAGGAACCTAATCTATTTTCGGGGTCGCTCCCCCGGGAGTGTCGTCTCCAGAACCTACATCTTTAGTGGCTCTATCCTCGGGAGTCTCCTCTCCTTCGGGAGTATCTTCTTCGTCTTCCTCGCCCCCTGAGCCGCTCACCATATCCTCGTCGTCGGAGGAGACAAGAAACCTAGCATCGGTTTCCCGCGCCTTTGCTTCGGCTATCTCCTCGGCAAGGTTGAACACTCGGGCATGGATTTCCTCGAGAGTCTCCCTCCGGG